CAGTATCTCACATCTGATGTAGTTATCTACGATCTTCTCCATTGTCTTCAGTATGAAGGATGTGAGACAGATCGGTCTAATGACTTCGAAAGGGTATGGTCCTTCTTCCCTATTTTGGGAATGAAAGTCGCACGCACCCTCGTCCAGCTGGTATGTACCTGAACGCCAGACTGAGTTTGGCTGCTTTGATAATGAACGGCAGTAGTTCCTTATGCCTTTTTTTGTTAAAGAGCTGGAAATATGCCGTCAATTCCAGGAGACTTGAATGGTTGGAAAGAGTGCATTGCCCACTTCAACCTTGCCGGAGTACAAATGGTTTTTGCAACATCCCATCAGTCTTCTCGTTTTGCTCTGCCTGGTTCTTCCAGTATTCTATATACACAAGTACACCTGCAGTATATTGTCGAAGACTACAGAAAATTAACTTTATCTTCGTTATAGCATCATCATTGCTGTAGAGGGCAAACATATTTTTTAGAGTGTATTTGCATGTACATCCAAAGTCATTGGGAGCGTTTGTCAGTTGTACAATGGATTGATGTTCATCATACAGGGCGGGAAAACAATTTTGAATTGAAAAAACCAAATCTGTGATGGACTTCAAACTTCAGAAGAAGCCGAACAGCTCTGCGTACGTACCTATATGTTTTTTCTCGTGGTACTCCAACTGACTTTGGATTGACTACACCATTGTTTTGAAATTAAATGAAATATAGTCAGTCAGTTGAGATGTAATAATATAAAAATGCCAGGTTAGGCTGCGTATCTTACGCTCATGCTCACTGACTATTTTCATTGCTAAGTACAATAACCATTTTGTTCAGTTATAGGTAAATGTATCCTTGTTATAATATAAAAACATACGCGAAGTAATTTCAACCAATAATGGCTATATTCCGAATTCAACTGGTCAGTACTATCAGTAAATCCACTGACTCTGCTGAAAATCTGTGTTCCGAAATATAAAATCAAAAATACAGTGTTGTAATTCGAAAAAATTCAAGGGTTGATGTTTTGCATATTTACTTTCTCAATATAACAAATCCTAAATTTTTTTTAATATAAAGTGTATTCGCAACTTTCCTCTTAGCTTCCAAATAAATTCATTTTGAGATACTAAATTCCAAAAAAGGTTCGACACTGGAAATAACAGGGTCATGACTTATTATTCCATATCATAACATTGAATCTTTGAGTCTTTAGTTTCTATCCATCAGGTGACCACAAGTATGGAGTTCAAATTGGGACACCTGATGGTATATACAGCGTGTCTCATTTCAAACGGCCCCCCCTCTATATCTCAGCTATCAGTCGTGCGATCTTTACCAAATTTGTATCGGTATGAATAATCATCAATATGACCAGTTCTTCAGGGACAAACATCATTTTAGACAGTGCCGTGCATTTTTATTGAAATGAATAGGGGTCAGTTTTTTATTAAATCATATTAGGCATTTTTCCACAGGAAAACTGACCTCATATAATTATTCTTCACGGTTTCGAACCCACATATGTGGATTTTCATAAGATGCCTATGAAGGGTTTCAGAAAAATAGGCACATCTAAACAGCATCTTTGCGAACGTAATAATTATTTACTCGGAAACGGTGAGTTCAACATAAAAAAGTATAACCCGTTTTTCCTTCCAAATCATTATTTTCCACCTACCGGAGCCATTAAACGTTCCAAAATTCGTAGTTGATTTGAAGTCACTATTTATGCGAAAATGAAAAAAATGAAGCCAATCCTGTTAATTCGGAATTAGGTGATTTTTTGCATATGGAGGTTCGAAAGCATGAGGAACAATAATATGGGGTTAGATTTCCTGTAAAAAAATGCCTAATATGATTTTATGAAAAATCGACCCCTTTCTATTTCAATAAAAACGCACGGCACTGTCCAAAATGATGTGCATCTCTGTAAAACTGATCATATTGATGGTTATTTATACCACACCAAATTTGGTTGGAATCGCATGACTAATAACTGAGATATAAAGGGGGACCGTTTAAAGTGAGACACGCTGTATATTATTACATTTTCTGAAAGCGTTTCAAAAGCCATACAATACATTATCAATTGATTATCTCATATATTTAACCACATCAAACCTATAACAATATAAGTCTATCTCCAAGTCGACATCACAACATCTATAATATTATGGAAATTATGATAAAGGTGCACATGTTCCAGATCTATTCAAAATCCATCATCAGCCGATGGATATCATTCTCAAAGAAAAAAACAATATGACAAAAAAAAAATAACTCTAATATTTCATTATTTTTCTATTACTTCGATGAAACATCTAACAGCATCTCCCTCGTAAGAAACTGATAGACAGATTCCGACAACTCTCATTTCATATTCATATTTCTTGCTAGTTGTTGCAAATGTTGGCGTGAATACATATTGATTGTGTTTCGGAATATTTGCATAAGATAGAAGTAAATCTTGTAACTATCAATTATGCTAATGAAGATAATTATCCTGCAACGTGTTTTTCTTCTACATGGAATCAAAGTCAATTATGTTTTGACGTAATACCCGCAAAAACGGGAAACTCTACTCATTCCTGCTGAATGAAGTGATTATATACAGAGTGGCTTCAGTTTCATTCATACTCAATATATTTATTATTCAAGAATTTATTTAATAAACTTCAAAAATTCATTATTCTGTTAGCCGAATTAGTGGAAATATGGTTTATTTAATTTTTGGAAAGTTCTTCAGCTGAGATAATGGAACACCATGTATTTCATGAAATTATCAACAGTAATTACACAAGTGGTTTCAATATTTTGATAATTTCAACTTAATGCACGAATCTTTGTTGCAATAGAAACCTCACGAGTGGACGAAATCCACGAGTGGGATTTCTCAATAGCAACAAAGACTTGTTGCATATTGATAAAATTATTAAAAGAGAATTACCATCACGAATGTAATTTGGCGTGATTATTTTTTCAACTATTACGCAAAATGCTCAGCGAAAACGAACAAATTTACAGCCACAGACTTCGGTTTTGCGTCATTTTTATTCGAACAGACTTGTTCGTCGAACAAAACAGCCTATACCAACAACGCAGTCTATGGCCCCCTTTATAGTCCAGTAACTTTGTCGCCTGAACATGTGGGGGTAGCATGCGTCAAATCCGGTAGTTCTGATTTTTTGCAGACTTGTTCATGATGTTGGCCTAATGAATGATCCAAGTTTGTGACCTCGAGCACCGAACGCAGCTTTGTCAAAAATCGAAAAAAACCGCGAAAAAATCGAATTTTATTAAAATTTTGGCGATTTTAACCCTGAAGGACTAGTTTTTGAAAAAAATCTTCCAGGACGGTTTTAAAGCAGATCAAATTTGCTATGATATGATACAAAAACTGTCTCAGTTGACCCAATAGTTTTCGAGAAAAAGCCTTTCAAAGTTTATAATTTTTTTTCGAACTTCGCAATAAAATAAGCCTTCAAAAATTTCTAAAATCATTGACAAGTTATTCTGTCAAAAATCTATAGATAGTTGGCCTAATCTAACTCAAATGATGTTGATCTCTGAAGACTGTTATTTTTTCGTAAAATAATTGGATTTTGAATTACGGGTTCAATAAAAATGCCTCGAAATGGAGCTAAGTAAGTATTTCAGAAAATAACAATAAAACATCTGTCAAATCGAATGCGCGCTCGTAAAAAGTACATCACTTCTTTCGTTTTTCCATCATGTGTTGTTTTTTGAATAAAAGATATTTTCTTCTTTCCTGAAGACAAACCTGGATTCTTATCCCGATTTTCATTTAGTTTCGATGTGTAATATGAGTGAAATATTTCTATCCAGTAAGGATAGATTATATAAAGTTGTTCAGAAGTTATGACCAGATGAAGATTTTGGTAAAATCAAGATAACGACCTGTATCTCAGGTATAAGAGACGGTAGACACATCCATGTGGGGTGATTTGGAACCATCAAAGTGTCCTCTATCTACAGGTGTTGTATGTACATTTAAATCTGAAACACCCTGTATTAATAACTATTGTATACTCACCGGGCAGCCTTCGGTATCTTCTTGATCTGCATGATATCCTCGCTCTCTCTGCTCAGAGGCTCGGCGCTGATCGCCTGCCTCTTCATCCTCGGCTCGTGCACCGCTTGCACTCTGGTGTTCTCTACCCCGGGCCCAACCCCCGGCCACCCCTCGCCCCCCAGGTCGATCTGCTTGCTGATGATCTGCCGGGTGATCGGCCTGACGACCTGCCGGAACTTGTCGATCTCGTTGCGCAGCTCCTTGATCAGCCCGTCTTTCTCGTCCAGCTCTCTCTCCAGCAGACAGATGGTCTCCTCTTTGAGCTTGAGCTCGCGGTTTTTCTCGTCCAGGAGGCGCTTGAGATCGCCGTGCGGCATGTCGCGTATGAGGTCGCTTTGCGGCATATCGCGTCTGAGGTGGCTTTGCGGCATATTGCCATCGACGGTCGTCGTCACCTCCGAGTCGATTTTGTTGCGGTGGAGGATCTTCGTTATGAAATGATAGCAACTCATTTGGGTTTCTAGTTCGTTGTTGAGGTCATCGTCGGATTAGGAGTTTTTCTTGTCTTCGAGGAACACTATAGATCGTCTATTACTTGGGTACGCGTTGATAGTTGGTAACTTATCTGTGGCCTTGGTCGATATATAACATAGCAAGCAATTGTTACAATGGCATAATTTAATGTGAACATTGATTAGATTTCAATATTGAGGTCAGGAAAATAAGCAATTTTTCACGCTCTATATTTATATTGGAAGTATATAACGTTCAGGGTGGATGTGTAAATCAAAAAATGCTATCAATTTGTCAAATTTGTATTATTTCAATCATAAGCCTTTGAATGGTCCAAGATAACAGTCTGAAATAATGAATAGCATCAAATTTGGCAATCAATGATGCATTTTTCAAATGAAATTCTTCTGGTCCTGCCGGATCCACATCAATTTTTGAATTTCAATCAGAACAACCTGCACGTTTCACATTATTGGATTCAGGAGTTTATTTAATATTTCATCACAGACGGTCTCCTCTTTGAGCTTGATCTCGCGATTTTTCTCGTCCAGAAAACGCTTGAGGTCGCTGTGCGGCATGTCACGTTTGAGGTCGCTGTGTGGCATGTCGCGTTTGAGGTCGCCGTGCGGCATTTCACGTATGAGATCGCTTTGCGGCATATCGCGTTTGAGGTGGCTTTGCGGCATATTGCCATCGACGGTCGTCGTTACCTCTGAGTCGATTTTGTTGCGGTGAAGGATCTTCGCGATGAAATGATAGCAACTCATTTGGGTTTCTAGTTCGTTGTTGTGGTCATCGTTATATCAGTTGGGCGCGAACACTATAAATTGGTATCGTCTATGACTTAGGTACGCGTTGATAGTTGGTAACTTATCTGTGGCCTTGGTCGATATACAGGGTGTTTCCTAACTACGGTTCCTAACTGCAGGGGGTGATTTATTAGGTCATTTTTAGAAGAAAAGTTTCTATGAACATATGTTCTAAAAAAAAATTTGTTCTAAAATTTGTTCTATCCGTCATTCGGTTGCCCCCTTACGAGCAATCCTCAAAAGTCTTCGAAAGTCTTGTGCGAGCAAGGAATGACGGGGGCCTTACCTTTTAACGTGTGATCCCAAACACTTTCTTGGGCCATCAGAAAAATTTCTGCAGTCGACGGGGATCGAACCCACGACCGGCAAGCGAATGCGAATTAGAATATAGACACTCTGTCCGCACGGCTACCTGGCCACCTATGTCTGGAATTGCTTCGTTTCTGAGATACAGGGCGTTGAAATTGAAGAAAAAAAAACGGTAATTATAAAGTATCATGAATATTCTGGAACCGATTTGGTTGAAATTTGATACTCTTATTTGTCAATTTTTTTAAAATTTCAGCATATCAAGTGTCAAATACATATTTGGCGGAAATACTGAAAAACTCATTTCTCCAATGCATATGTTCATGATTTTTTTTCTCGAAAACGAAGCTGGATATGATGAAGATACAGGAGACCAAAAAGTTGTATTTTGAGTTGCTTGATCTAAAAAAAAAATTAAAATTTACCAAAAGAAGTCAGTGGCGTACTTTTTTCTACAATATTGTTGGCTGTGGTGCCCACTGAAACGCCACTGGCCCCAATAATTTCAATCTAAATAGGGCTTAATAAGAGCCTCATTAGTTTAAATTAAAGTACCAAATTTCAGCCAAATCGGTTCTAGGATATTCATGATATTTTATAATTACCGATTTTTTTCTTTAATTTCAAAGCCCTGATCTCAGAAACGAAGCAACTCCGGACATATGTTAATATAAAATTTTCTTCCTAAAATGACCTAACGAATCACTACCTGCAGTTAGGAACCGTAGTTAGGAAACACCCTGTATAACATAGCAAGCAATTGGTACAATGGTATTATTTTATATGAACATTGATTAGATTTCAATATTGGTGAGGAAAATAAGCAATTTTTCACGTTCTATAGTTATATTAGAAGTATATGCTATGACTGTCGAATTTTTATTATTTCAATCATGAACTTTCGCATGGTCCAAGACTCGGTCCAAGATAACAGTCTGAAAGGATGAATAACATTGAATTTGGCAATCAATGATGCACTTTTTTAATGAATTTCTTCTGGTCTTGCCGGAACGACATCAATTTTTGATTTTCAATTAGAACATCCTGCACGTTTCACATTATTGGATTCAGGAGTTCATTTTATATTTCATCACAAACGGTCTCCTCTTTGAGCTTGAGCACGCTGTTTTTCTCGTCCACGAGACGCTTGAGGTCGCTGTGCGGCATATCACGTTTGAGGTCGCTGTGCGGCATGTCGCGTTTGAGGTCGCTGTGCGGCATAACGCGTATGAGGTCGCTTTGCGGCATATCGCGTTTGAGGTGGCTTTGCGGCATATTGCCATCGACGGTCGTCGTCACCTCAGAGTCGATTTTGTTGCGGTGAAGAATCTTCGTGATGAAATGATAGCACCTCATTTGGGATTCTAGTTCGTTGTTGAGGTCATCGTCGGATTAGGAGTTTTTAGTCTTCGAGGAATATCAGTTGGGCGCAAACACTATAAATTGGTATCGTCTATTACTTTCATAGACTAGGTATTCGTTTATAGTTGGTAACTTATCTGTGGCCTTGGTCGATAAATAACATAGCAAGCAATTGTTACAATGGTATTATTTTATATGAGCATTGATTAGATTTCAATATTGAGGTCAGGAAAATAAGCAATTTTTCACGTGCTATAGCTATATTAGAGATATTCAACGTGATGGTGGATATGTCGAAAAAAATGCTATGAATTTGTCAAATAACATCAAATTTGGCAATCAATCATGCATTTTTTTAAAGAATTTCTTCTGGTCCTGCCGGATCGACATCAATTTTTGATTTTCAATTAGAACGTCCTGCACGTTTAACATCATTGGATTCAGGAGTTCATTTTATATTTCATCACAGACGGTCTCCTCTTTGAGCTTGATCTCGCGGTTTTTCTCGTTCAGAAGATGCTTGAGGTCGCTGTGCGGCATGTCGCGTTCGAGGTCGCCGAGCGGCATATCGCGTATGGGGTCGCTTTGCGGCATATCGCCATCGACGGTCGTCGTCACCTCAGAGTCGATTTTTTTGCGGTGAAGGATCTTGTGATGACATGATAGTAACTCATTTGGGTTTCTAGTTCGTTGTTGAGGTTATCGTCGGATTAGGAGTTTTTTGTCTACTTTCATGGACTATAGGTATGCGTTGATAGTTGGAAACTTATCTGTGGCTTTGGTCGATAAATAACATAGCAAGCAATTGTTACCATGGTATTATTTTATATGAGCATTGATTAGATTTCAACGTTGAGGTCAGGAAAATGGGCAATTTTTCACGTTCTATAGTTATATTACGAGTATATAACGTCAAGGTTGGATGTGTAAATCGAACATGCTATGAATTTATCGAATTTGTATTATTTCAATCATGAGCTTTTGAATGGTCCAAGATACCAGTCTGAAAGAATGAATAATATTGAATTTGGCAATCAATGATGCATTTTCTCGATGATTTTCTTCTGGTTCTGATGGATCGTCATCAATTGAATGAAGTCGCTTTGCGGCATATCGCGTTTGAGGTGGTTTTGCGGCATATCGCCATCGACGGTCGTCGTCACCTCCGAGTCAATTTTGTTGCGGTGAAGTATCTTCGTGTTGAAATGATAGCAACTCATTTGGGTTTCTAGTTCGTTGTTGAGGTCATCGTCGGATTAGGAGTTTTTTGTCTTCGAGGAATATCAGTTTGGGCGCGAACACTATAAATTGGTATCGTCTATATTACTTAGGTATGCATTGATAGTTGGTAACTTATCTGTGGCCTTGGTCGATAAATAACATAGCAATTGTTACAATGGTATTATTTTATATGAACATTGATTAGATTTCAATATTGAGGTCAGGAGAATAAGCAATTTTTCACGTTCTATAGTTATATTAGAAGTATATAACGTCATGGGTGGATGTTTAAATCAAAAATGCTATGACTTTGTCGAATTTGTATTATTTCAATCATGAGCTTTCGCATGGTCCAAGACTCGGTCCAAGATAACAGTCTGAAAGAATGAATAACATTGAATTTGGCAATCAATGATGCACTTTTTTAATGAATTTCTTCTGGTGCTGCCGGATCGACATCAATTTTTGATTTTCAATTAGAACATCCTGCACGTTTCACATTATTGGATTCAGGAGATCAATCATTTTTGATTGCTTACAGAGTGATAATCTTCTTGGATAAGTACTTTTTTGCGTGCTGCCTCTGCTTTCAATGATATTTTAATTTAGATTATCTCTTTCATTTGGATAATTTTTTCTTTACTGGTATATGTTATTCGAAAACTATGTTTTTTTATAGATAAATGCCAAATAATTTTTGAACACCCTCTATCGTCTTTATTTGATATTTCTTGATAATAGACTACAAGATATGGAATGAGAAGGATCTTCCATTAGATGTGTTAATGAAACTCTGTGGCCAAACATGAAAAACACAAAAAAGAGATATATAAAAAATATCACACCGCATGTACCGGGTGACACGTTATAAAGTACCACCCCCTATAACTCTTTTATTTTTGAAAGTAGAAAAAAAAAATAGAAAAACAGCCTCACAATGGATTTTTTTTCCTCCTCGAATCAACTGATATATTTTTAGTATATCAAAGGATATACAGGGAGCAGGAAAAAGTGCAAAAATTTTAAATGGAACGCCCTATATATTTCGCCCCATTAGATAGACCTTTCGAAGCGCTTTCCGAAAATACCCCACTCAATACATTTATCTTCAGTATTTCTCATAATATAGACGTTTGAACCTGAAAAAAGTGTTTATCGATTTTCAAATGATTTTTGAGAGTATGGTATGACAGTGAATCTAGGTAATTAATAAATCGTTATGACATTCAATTCTCATTGACAGTAGGTAATCGCTGAAACTCAGAATTGTAATATTAATTTAATTTCCGAAAATTAACAAAAACAAAATAACAAATTTATTGATCACAACTAATATTTCCACCCTCGTTCTGAACACATTCTTCGTAGCAAGTCTGTAAATGGTTTATAGCATTTTCTATAAAATGGGCATGTCTTTCATTCAGCATATTCACTTCATGTCTAATGAAATATTTGATATCATCAGCATTGTTCAGATCCCGTTGATAAATTTTATTCTTGATATATCCCCAAAGAAAATTATCCATGGGTGTAAGATCTGGGCTGTTTGAATGCCATGCGATAGTCCCATTCCGACCAATCCACTCTTCATGATTTGTATCTAGAAAATGTTTCACTCGTTGTATAACGTGAGGTGGAGCCCCGTCATGCTGATACACTATTCTTTGATATCGTCTCAAAGGTAAATTTTCCAATATTTCAGTTACTCTGTCTTCCAAAAATTCATAATATGATTGACCAGTCAACGTAGTTTCAAAAAAGAATGGGCCTAATATTTTATGGTCAAGTATTCCACACCAAACATTAACAGTTTGTCGACCTTGCCAACGCACCTCTCTTGCGAAATGTGGATTTTCGGATGCCCAGTATCTGAAATTCTGTCTATTAGGCAGCCCGCTTGTAGAAAAACTTGATTCACCCGTCCATAATATATGTTTGAAGAAGTTTCTATCATCATTCAATCTATTCAACATCAAGTTGCAAAAATTCAGTCTTTGATTTCTATGAATTTCTGTCAATTTTTGTACCGTATGGAATTTATAAGGTCTGAATTTATATTTTTTCAAAACTCTACGGATACTCTCCCTTGAATTCTTATGTGGTCCGAAACGTGCGCTTAATTCTTTTGCCGAAATCCTCAATGACTTTTTCGGATTTTCTATATGATTCAGTAAGGTATTTAATTCATGATTTTCGTCATTTCCACATGTCCTTTTTTTTCGTTGTAAATTGCAAGTCCTTCTAAACTTCAGGTAAATGTTCTTGATGGTTCGCCTTGATGGAATATTACCATTCGGAAAACGCAATTCATAGCCACGTCTTGCAGCGGATGCGTTTTGATTATTTTCTATGAATAAAGTTACTATTTCTTGCTTTTCTTCATTTGAATACACCATGATTCAAGAAAAACTTACTTATAGAGGAAATTAACAAGAAGTGATGAAGGGATTAATCTTCACTAGAAATGACAATGAAATGTCATAACAAACCTTCATTATTGTTGCAGTTACTCATGGTTACCTCATGGCTAATCATGGCATACTATCTACAATCATAGAACAGTTATTCAATCATAAATCAATCAAAACGACTTTCAGGTTCAAACGTCTATATTATGAGAAATACTGAAGATAAATGTATTGAATGGGGTATTTTCGGAAAGCGCTTCGAAAGGTCTATCTAATGGGGCGAAAATATATAGGGCGTTCCATTTAAAATTTTTGCACTTTTTCCTGCTCCCTGTATATCCTTTGATATACTAAAAATATATCAGTTGATTCGAGGAGGAAAAAAAATCCCCTGTAAGGCTGTTTTTTATTTTTTTCTACTGTCAAAAATAAAAGAGTTATAGGGGGTGGTACTTTATAACGTGTCACCCGGTATATCAGAAACAGGGTTCCTACGCATATAGTATGTCTATTGTTCAAGTTCTAAGTTGAGGATGAGATGCAAATTCCTCTGGGTATGTAGTCAAAGTGAAACAAGTTTTTGTTCAAGATTTCGAGTCTTCATTTGCACTTCATCAAGAACTCTATAAAACATTGAAATTGATATGAAAATTCAATCGTTACATGAGATTTTCATCTTGAATGATATCTTCTCTAAGCTGTTGAAGCCCTGCTAGAAAAAACTGACTCACCCTATATATTTATATCTGAAAGTGTAATTCCAATTATCGTTATTTGAAATTTTATAAAAACCTTCTATCCAGCGGCAGAATTAGATTTGTTTACAGGAATATTCAGCTCGCTGAATAAATTTCTCGCAATTTAAAACTTTCATCGCCAGCTTTTATTATTTTCAACACACTTTTATTTATTCAACCTTTTTACCGCATTGGTAATGGCGTATCACTAAAGAAATTTATATCCATGTGATATTTTAAGCTACAAACGTAATTTCAGGAGTATAATCAAGTATATGTTTGGAGTGTATGAAGGAAATTTATATCCATGTGATATTTTGAGCTACAAACGTAATTTCAGGAGTAAAATCAAGTAGGTTTTGAGAGTATACCTCGGTATACCTACATAGCAAGAATGGTGGAACAAATCGCCAGGAATGAGACAGGCAAAAGAGTTTATTAAAAAACCATCGCCAACATTCACAGAATATCTACTAAGCCAGAAACGAAGTTCAACTAGAATACTAGTGGGACTTCTCACAGGGCATTGTAGGCTCAACAAACACATGAGTACGATAGGTCTGTCTGTCAGGAAGAGGAGGAAACAGCAGTACACATACTTTGCCACTGTGAGGGCTTGTCAAGACTA